AATTTCTTCCCCCATGAAGACCTCATCCCGCAGGGCACTGAAGGCCCACACACCCTGGCAGGTGTTCCCACCCAAAAGCGTAGTTAAGCTCAGGGCCAAGGAGGACAGCAAAAGCAACTTTCTTACTGGCTGTGACCTATTGTACTGGTTGTTTTTTGGTTTTGGTTTTGTTTTTTATGTCAACTTGATACAAGCAAGAGTCATCAGTAGAAGAAATGTCTCCATGAGATCCAGGCATTTTCTCAATTAGTTATCAATAGGGAAGGGCCCAGCCCATTGTGGGTGGTGCCATTCCTGGGCTGCCGGTCCTGTCCTGTGTTTTATAAAAAGGCAGGTGGAGCTAGCCAAAAACAGCACTCCTCCATGGCCTCTGCATCAGCTCAGGTGTTCAGGTTCCAGCCCTGCTTGCGTTCCTGCTCTGACTCCCTCTAATGACAGTCTCCAACCTGATTTTTGGTCATGGTGTTTTGTCGCAGCAACAGAAACCCTACATTCCCTGTGTTGTCAGACCTGAGGGGACAGACACCTAACTCAGCACTTGCAGGTGGCTGCCAGACAGTCGCTAGCGTGCAGCGCCTGGCCCATCACAAATGTTTGCTAATGTCTGATCATCCATGGTGTGACAGCCCTGTAACTCAGCTATCTTATTCAGTCAGAAATTAACCCAGTGATCAAAGCCATTAAAGGCGGGGAACGAAACAGCAGCGCCACCCAGATGGTGGGGACATCAGACAGATGGAGGGAAAAGCGGCTGTGGTCGTGGATTGTGACACTGGGCTGCAAATGGGGACCCTGTGCCTGCTTGTGAGTGCGGCTCAGCGGGCTTCTAAAGCCTGGTTCGTTCTGTGTCCTGAGTACAGCAGCGAGGATCAGATGGGCAGACGCGTGGGGGATCTGTCCCAGTAGCTCCAGCTGAGCTAGGGAATTGGATGTTCACTGGGATAAAAGAGGAGAGAGACATGCAGGCCTAATTCTGACATTTGTGAGCATACAAACCATACGCCATGCGTTCAAAATTCTAAGTTTAAAGTGAAGCAAACTGTTATATACAATATGCTGATTTTTTTCTGCCCCAAGAATCATCCCTCCAGAAGGACCTAGGAACGGTTTCAATTTAGAAATCCTGACTGCTGTGAACTCCACACAGGAGTAAGTGGCAAAAGCACCATGGTCTACATCTCTTCCCTGTTTGCCTTCGGCTCACTCAGGAAAGGCTTTGAGTATATATTGAGGGGTGTCATTCAGCTGCACACCATGCACACCAAATGGCTATTCATGAGACACTCACAGTGCTCAGCGGTGGGTACCAGCAGCCACCAACAAGCTCTTGGGAGGACTAGCCCTGGCCGCATGACCATGCAGCCCTGGATATGGTCTCGGATCTACGGGGGCAGGAGCTCCAGGGTCCCGCAGTGTTGCCAGCCCATAACTCGGGCACGTTCTCCAGGTGGATATGCTCTATTGAGTTCAAGCATCTCCTGCTGTCAGGGAGGAGGGGCTTTCAAAAGAGGAGCAAACCACGCCCCTCTAAACAGGGCACAGGATGTGGGGGCCTTCGTTGCTGGGACCAAGAATCGCTTTGGTAACGTGACAAGCCCTGTTCTCACTATCTCTCTCCCCTCTCGGTCCACCTATTTCCCACAGCCCAAGCAGCTGGGCCACACAGCGAATGGAAAGCCTTCATCTGCATCTTTTGGTTGATAACTCGTAAACAGCTATCCTCGGTCGCGCGTCCCTCTTGCGGAGACGGACAAAGAGAAGCAACCATATCTCCGGTTCACACCGAGATGTTTCCCTTTAGCAGTGGCAGGCAGGTTGTCGGGGCTCAACTTCAAGATGACAGCATTGACTGTGGTCAGACCCGGAATCTCGAGGGGAGCCCCAGACTGCTCTATTAATGATGGCAGACTCTGGTCCCAGTTGCTTGTGATCTCCGTGATGAGTTACTGTTTGTGTCCCGGGATGTGCAGGTGACTTGACTGGAGGGCTCTGAATGCAAGCTCACTAAAATGCTGTCCCTTTCACCAAGGATCCCTTTAAAATACTTAACAACTCGAAAAGGAAACTGAGCTTGAATTTTCCCTTCAGACACTGGGGAAATAGTGTTTCTCTCCTGTCTGAAACTCACTATCTCCTCAGACAAAGAAAGCTCTTATGGTAACAGCAATGACACTTTCTCTATAATTTTCAAATAAAGGATAAAGAGAAAACAGCATCTCAGCCTTTTTGTTAGCATCTAACAATAAAGGAATAATATGGTTTGCAAGGGGAGAGCTCTGGTGTGAAGCCTGGAATACAAAAATAGTTTGGCTGACAAACCTCACAAAGGAATCTTCTCAGTGGCCAGGCTGAGGCGGGCGGACGTGAAGTGTCAAGAAAACGATACCATCCGCCTATTTGTGTTGTTGTTTGATGAGCACCAGTTTGATGGGGCCAGCCCTGGGTAGAAGATCTCTCTCTCTCTCTCTCTCTCTCTCTCTCTCTCTCTCTCTCTCTCTCTCTCTCTCTCGTCTGTCTGCCTGCCTTTTTAAGCTTTTCTTTTTCTTTTTCAGAAATCCTCCTGCCTCAGCCTCGCACATGATCAGATGGCAGATGTGTCTCTGTGAAATCCCAAAGCAACATGACTTCCCCTTCCTACTCATACCTGCTCCCTTTCCTCGAAATGGGCTATCCATCTCTCTCTGGGCAGCAATCCAGGCCTGCTTTTGGAGAAGGAATGGGGGCCTGTGCTCACACTCACTGGGTCCCTCCTACACAGTCTACCTCCCTTTGTGAGCTAACTTCTCCTGTAGATAACCTCTGAGGATGCTGCCTATGCCCTCAGCAACGGTGCCATGCATTCCCTGCTGTGACACTCACGCAATGAGCTTCTCATCGCTGCTATGCTACCTAACTCGTAGTGTTGTCTTTGAGAGCAGAGACCGTCTATGTTTTCTTTCGAGCCCAGATCTTCATTGCTATCCGTGAGCCTGGCTTACAATATGTCTAACTGAAAAACAAAATAATGAATGAATGAATGAATGAATGAATAGGAACTGAGAGCACTATGTCGCTGTCCCGTAGTATCTGAAGCAACAAATCAAAGAATAAAAAGAGTCCTATGCTAAATTGACAATCATCTTATTTGAGGCATTAAGATACTTCATTATTGTTTTGGACGCTGTAAGGTTTTTCTTGGTGTGAGGGAGGCTGGGCAGCAGTTTCCGGAGAGGCGGCTGGATGGTGAAGAGTGCCTCCTCTCTGTGGTAGAGTGTTGTGTTAAGGTCTGTGAGTTTGTTTAAGCTGTGCTTGTTTAGACTCTGTGAAGCTGTGTTACTGTGCCCGCCTAAGACACCTGATTGGTCTAATCAAGCACTGAATGTCCAATAGTGAGGCCGGAGCAAGGATAGGCGGGGCTGGGGGGCAAAGGGGGTAAATAGAAGGAGAAAGGGGGACGAAGAGGGGCAAAGAGAGATCAAGGGGAGGAGGATGCCAGGGGCCACCAGCCGACCATGGAGTAAGAAGGAAAGTAAGATATACAGAAGAAAGATAAAAGCCCAGAGGGAAAAAGCAGATGGGTTAATTTAAGACAAGAAAAGCTGCCTAGAAACAAGCCAAGCTAAGGCCTGGCACTCATAAGAAAAAGACTCCACGTGTGATTTATCTGGGAGCTGGGTGGTGGGTCCCCCAAAAGACCCAAAAGAGCAAAACCAAGCCACTACAGATGACCCCTGGCCAGCTTCTAGAACCCAGCTAGAACGGAGTGGCCCTCTTCTGCAGAGGGCTCACACAGCATGTAGCCACGCCCTTTATGTGGGGCTGTAGTCAGTGATAAGTGACAGAAGTCACAGAAGAGAGATAAGCAAAATAGACAAAATGTCTTCACACATTGAAATTTAGAGACTCGAACCCAGGGATAGCCTGGTGGCTTCAAGTGTGTGCAATCCAGATTTTTGCCTTTCTTGTTTTGTAATAGTTCCATGGCTTCCAGTTTTTTTGAATGACCACGTGTGTGGAGGCTCCAGGCTGATGATGGGAATCAGCTCTGGTCTGGCTTCCATCTTATGCCTTGAGGCAGGGCCTCTCCCTTTAAATCCAAGGCTCATGGATAAGACCAGTCTCGTTGGCAAGCTTGCTCTGGGGAGGCCCTGTCTTTACCATCTAAGCTGGAATTACAGGGTAACCACCATGCCCACCCTGCATTTATGTGGGTTGTGGGGCGGAGGGGAGCATATCTGAACCCTGTCTTCACCCTTATACAGTAAGTACTTTAACCAGAGAGCTCTCCCCTGCCCCGTGGCTTCCGTTTCGGATGCCACCTGGACCAGAAGACCCTGCGCCCACGTTTCAGTTTTGTGAGGGAGTGAAGCAGAAACTTCTACCCTCATCTCACCCGACCCACACTGACTCCGTTAAGGGCAGCCCCCGCCAGGCTGAGAACCTGAATCTGACTGTCGAGAGAGCAGACACGCTCTTGGTCACCAACGTTTTATCCACAGCTACCTTTGCCCCGGTACTTGTCTGGCCAGCGGTGGCCAGTTGACTGTTGGAGGGGTCATGGTACCCTCCTATGGGGTGCCCCGGGCCTTTTCATAGGGGTTTGCGTAACTGACACGTATCCCATCATCACCCGTGAGGTACAGAGAAATGCGTTCTCTTGAAGCCACAGAGGCTGCTTGGCAGTCGGGTTTGTCCTTGGGCTTTGAAGGTGTCCAGCAGCAATCCAGGCTGCAGTGAGGTCAGCTTGATTCCAGCTGCCGTATTCAAGCCACCAGTGTCCCCCCTCCCTGCAGAGTCTTCCTCATTCACAGTCACACCCCAAGTGCTACCCGGCGGGTGGGCGGGCAGGCGGGCGCGGGGTTGGAGACTCAAGCTCAGGATTGCAGTTTTCCAACAGTATTGTTTCGGAGAAGAGTACAAATGAGGCTGGCGGTGGTGTACAGTCTTTGGTTTGCTCCTCGATGCCCTCTTTGACCCCTACAGTCAGGTTCTAATTGTCCTGTTTGTTCTTCGTGCTGCAGGCTCCTGCGGCTGTCTCGTCATGATACTGTTTGCCTCCGAAGTGAAGATCCACCACCTCTCGGAGAAAATCGCAAACTTTAGAGAAGGGACCTACGCCTACAAAACGCAAGACGAAAGCTACACCGCCTCGTTCTGGGTTGTTTTCATTTGCTTTTTTGTTCACGTTTTGAACGGGCTCCTGATACGGCTTGCTGGGTTTCAGTTCCCCTTTGCGAAATCTAAAGACACGGGGACTGCCAGTGTGGCTGCAGACTTAATGTACTGAGAAGCACATTGTTTCTCAGTCAGGGAGGGGGTGTGCTCTGGCCACATTTAGCTATGGTTAATTTCATCAGTGTGTTTAGACTTCTTAAGCACCAAGCACTGCTCCCCCCCCCAGTTATGCTTACAGACTGTGTGGTAAGGATTCTGGCAGGGAAAACAATAATGGAGGCAGAGGGTGGTTTCAGAAAGCTGTTTTGCCTGCTGGGAAACTGCTTGCACAGGTAGCACGAGGCGGCGGGCAATGGACAGATGTACTCACTGAAGGGTAAGACACACGGCCTGCCAAGGAGAACTCCACAGGCATTCGGAACATATTTTAATAAAACAGACGCTATTTCTAATCGTCCACGCATTTGCTGTCACAGATTCCAGAAAACAGAGATAAAACTGATGTCCTAAAGTGACAACACACTGAATCTTTGAAAGGGTTCATGGTAAAAGTTTGTTTAAGGCGTGGTGTTTGTTATTGTGATGTCAAAACTAGAAAATCATTATAAGCAAGCAAACCAGCTAGGAAAGGAATGAAGGAAGGGGGGACAAGGAGGGAGGGAGGGAGGGAAGGAGGGAGGGAAGGAGGGAGGGAGAGAGGAAGGGAGGGAGGGAAGGGGGAGGGAGAGAGGAAGGGAGGGAGGGAAGGGGGAGGGAGAGAGGAAGGGAGGGAGGGAAGGAGGGAGGGAGGGAGGCCAGGTCAAATGTTCTTCCCTTCTGCATCTGAATGCTGCCTTGCTGCAACCACACAAGCAGGTGAAAAATGACCACTTGGTGAGAGTGACCCCCTAGAGACTGTTTCTAGCTTACTGTCTTCAGCACTAATGAACTCCAGATTATGAAAGGCACATAAACCCAGGACTGAGGTGGTATCAGTGTGCCACGGCCGTCATGAAGCATGGTCCAAGAAGATTATTTTCCCTTGACTTATCTGCCAAATTAATCTGCTGGTGACCAAAGGCTGCAAAGTGAACCTGAAAGTGGCCTTTGTTCAGGAGAGAGCAAAGAACAGAGAAGATGCCACTGTGCCGGGGCTACAAACACGAGGGCTCATAAAGGGGTTGGAAACGCTCAGTAAAAGAAACCTGGGAGCTAGGAAGAGGCTCAGGTAAGAGTGCTGGCCTCAGAAGCAAGAGCGCCTGAGTTCAGGTCCCCAGCACAGAAAAGCCCCATGGCGCAGGCCTGTGATCCCAGCACTGAGAAGGCAGAGATCTAGGTGCTCAGTGGCTAGCCAGTCAAGCCTCATCCGTGAGCTCTGAGATCATCGAGAGACCCCAAAGTAAGGTCGGGTGATTGAGAAAGACACCCAAGTTGATCTCTAGCCTCCACGACCCCCACACACACTTTCATCTTGGAATATTCTACAAGGAAAGAGCTACTGTACGCCTGAAATAACCAGCTCTGGTGGTTGAGTGTTGTTCATGCACAGACATCGGAACACACTCCGTGTTTTCATGACGGAGTCCTTGTACCTTAATTCACCACACCTGAAAGTATGTCCTCCAGCAAGTCTGTCCAGGAGCAGGTGCTTGCTTTGGTGATGGGCTAGTAATGCAAAAAAGTCTGGGATTCATCAGCTGAAACCCTTAAGCACAAAGCTGTATTAGGAGGGGAAGTTGTGTGTGTGTGTGTGTGTGTGTGTGTGTGTGTGTGTGCGTGTGCACACAGGAGCACGCGTGGGGGTGGGGGGTACCTCAGGGTTGGAGGATGGAGTGAATGCCCCCTCCCCCCCAAGGATCTCCTTCCCCCCTTCCTAGCTCAGAGGCCTGGAAAAAGTCCTGTAGCACCAAGTTGGGTTTCTGGGGGGGGGCAGTTATTGCTAGAAAACAAGTGTTTGCTTGCTCTCTGTTCTTTAAAAGGAAGGCTTGGGACAGGCACAGAAATCTAATGAGAATCTCACAGACTGATTAGCGGTAGTTCCTCTGCCTGGACAGGAGCAGGAACCAGGCCTTAAAGGCACCAGAGTGTTCATGAAAATCCCCCCCCCTCTCTCTCACACACACACACACACAATCAGTGTAAACACAGTTCACACTCTCTGTTTGCCCCCTCTTCCAACAGATGAAATGAATGCCTGAGGTGGCCTTGAGACCGGGGAGCCTGGCGTGAAACTCTTTCGTCTGCTCCTTTGTAGGGATCAAAGGCCTTGAAGCTGGCACTCATTTTTGCTGAGCTAGGCCTCTCATAGTTGGTGGCCAGAATTCTCATGAGGACTCAGGGCCCCCTGCTGGCCCTGGGCTGGCAAGCATCCTGCCAAGATTAGGACCCACCCACCTCATGGTTACCAGATAGCAAATATGAAGACTGTGCCACTGCCCGGGAGAAGGTATCGGTAAGTATCTAGGAAAGGGTCCCGGGTGAGCAGAATGAGGGTCCAGTATGACTAGGTTACTTCCAGGGTTACTTTTCCCAGATAACTGCTCTCACAGCCACTGCTTGCGGTAATGAATGAGTTCCACTCTATCTTAGTAACTGAAGATGCAAAGCCGGGGTTTAGGATTGCAAGGGTGCACTTTGTATACGAAGGACTAATTTCATTCTTAACCCCACTCTGAGCCCTTGGCCTCTTTATTATTCACCATTCATTCATTATCATGTTTGCCTCAGTTTCTTCAACTGGGATCACAGCCTGAGCCACCAGGCCTATTCTGTCTTCTATTCTTCTCTCTTGCTGGCTTATATTATGTTTATGAACCACACCCTTGTAAATTGCTTTAGTACTTTTTTGGGGGGTCACTATTTTTTTTTAGAAAAAGATGTGATACACCTTATCAAATCCAAACCTTGCCCCTATACAACATCTACTCAGAACTAAGTCACCACATATAATACAATGTAACCTAGACGTTCGAATGTATCAACTTGTAGCCAGTTCAGAATCCCAGAGCCTGTATGAGGCACTTGGTAATTTTTTCTTGAATTAATCTCTGCTAGTCTCAGTCCTTTCTGCTCCAGAGAATTGACAGTTTCTAACAATGGCTAACCTCCCTGAGTCCTGTGTATATGTCAATAAAGCACTGTTGGCCAATAGGGAAGCAAGATAGGTGGGGCTAGGAGTCGAGGAGGATTCTGGGAAAGAGAAACACAGGCAGACATGATGTAGCCGCCATAGGCGTAAGAGGTCCGGACCCTTTCCTCCGGTAAGAGAAATACTTAAATTAGCCATTATGGATTAAATACTTAAGTCAGAGATAGCCAGTAAGAAACCAAGCAAATGGCCAACAGCTTTATGATTAATATAGCCTCCTGTGTGTTCATTGGGACTGATACGGCTCTGGAACCATGCTGTCAGGAAGGCTGAGCTCTAAAACTTTGTTTCTAACAATGGCTAACATCCCTGGACTGGGTCACTCTCCTGCCATTTGACCCTTCCATTTTCTTTGATTTCTGTCTCATTCCACCATTGACAAGGCCTTGGGATTTTGAAAGAGTGGTACTATTTTGGGCCTACATTTCAACAACACCAGTCCTTCCCAGTGCTACAGCTCCATGCAACACTCAGAGGAACATGGTGACGCTGACTCCGATGAGTCAAATGGCTCCTGAGGTATTGACGGAGCTTCAGTGACATGCCCTGCCTGACAGGTGAGAGCAGGCCTCCTGACTGCACTTAAATCAGTTCCAAGGGTCACAGAGACTGCATTCCCTCTGAAATACAGATCTTTCTCTTGGGAACTTAATTAAAAGTGAACCAGCTTGATAAAGTGAGACAGAAGCTATGTTTATGCCCAGACTCTTCCTCTCACACTGGCTATCACCTGACTTCTCAACTTCTTCCTTCACTTGTTTGAAACTAGTCCACGGGACACCTGGTGTATTAGTCAGGGTTCTCTAGAGTAACAGAATTTAGAATGAATCTCTCTCTCTCTCTCTCTCTCTCTCTCTCTCTCTCTCTCTCTCTCTCTCTCTCATGTGCGGCCCTGTGCACACATTCACACACACACACACACACACACACACACACACACACACACTAGCTAATCCAATATGGCTGCCTATGCACAGTAGGTCAAAGAATCCAGTAATTGTTCAGCTCATGAGGCTGGCTGCCTCAACTGGTCTTCTGCAATCACTGAAATAATAAAGAAGCAGGCTCAATACCAGTGAAGGAATGCACTTGATAGCTAGGCAAGAGGAAGCATTTTGGGGTTTGAGTTAGTTCAAGATGTACTTGAGTTGACAACCAAGAGTTGCAATCACAAATTCACTCCTTGCCAACTGGACACAAAATCGTATTTCCTTGTGTTATGATTAATTCCCAAATGAAAACAATAATCACGTTATAATTATGTCTATCCATGATGTAACTGTCCCATGGGAAAATCGCAAATGTACTACATATTTAACCAGATTGCAATTATACCTAACATCATATAACTATCCCTCATGCAACCTCAAATACATTATAAATTTAGAATAGGTGGGCCATTCTTTTAGTATCTCAAACTTAGATATGATAATCATTGGTATCCTCTTAATTGGTGTTATATCACATGATGAATTGAGGAAAGAAAATACAAATATTTGTACAAATGTATTCTAACAAAACATGACAGAAAAACTCATGTCAGTTGACATCCTTGTATGTGTCATGTTGAGGGGCACCTTCCTTTACTACCCATCCAGTATTTTCTTCATCTTCATAAAGCACCTCAACTAATCTTGGCTCTTTTGCTAGAGAGTGGCCCATACCTCCATTCCCGATGGGTCTGTGCCGTTTGTCATTCTGCCTGGATTAGGCTGCAGTTGTCTCCCATTGACTCCAATAACAGAACACGGTAGCACCAAGAGACACCCTAAGGGATTTCCTGCACTCCAGACATAATCTTTCTTGCCGCCATTGTGGAGAAGCAATCCGATATCTGCATGGCAATCTGGGTCAATCATCCCTCTTAACACTGTTATTCCTTTCTTAGTCTGTTGGTTTACCGGCATCAGAAACCCAAGCGGCCAGGGGGAAGTGTGAGCTTCCAGTTCCATGAAATGCTTGTTGTGGCTCCTGGCCAGAGTGCTCCCCGCTCTGGGACCAAAACTTCTAAGCCCGCAGAATGTAAGATCATGGAAACAGGAAACAAAAATTTTTTGTGGTGTGTCACTAGGGGTGATAGTGAGTGAAATTATTCCCTTTCCCACCCTTTGATTCCTGAGCCCATGGATCCTGGCTATGAGAGAAACCATACCATATATTGGATGCTGATTTTAAAGAACATACCACCTTGTGGAGAACCCTGCCCCAGGCCTGCAGGCTGCCACCACCTAACTGGTGCTGTGACTGTGTCTTCAGAAGCCATTCCACTTCCCTGTCAGGCCAGCTGCTGCAAGGTAGTAGGGAACACGGTAAGGCCAGTGGATT